TATACAGGACAGGCGCTGATGTTGAACTATTTTCATTCAGGAAAAGTGAACATGTATATACACACGACAGGCAAAGCAGCACATATTCTTAAGGGTAGAAGATATTTGAGCTGGGATGCTGGTGTCTCCCAGCACGATCAAACCATCCGGGGCTATTGCCGCCTTCTCGGCTGCCCTCGGCACTTATCGTGAATAAAAGCTATATATGTATGTTTACTTTTCCTGGATAAAACTAGTTGAAAGTGAGTGCCTGTCCTGTATACTCCTTGTCCTCGTCTTTTTTGCGCTATTTTATATATTTTACTAAGATGAACCAACAGCGTACCGTATTAAAAAGAAAAAGAAGAAGAATAAAGTGATATTATATTTACCTGGTGCTTCTTTTCGTAATAGGCACTATTTCAAGAGTGCAAACGGGTATCTTTCCATTCATTTGTAGGGTTCGCTTATTTTCAGGTGCCGAGAAATAAATTGCTTTATTTAAATTTGATGGAGCAGTAAATGACAAGCTACATACATATCTGTCTTTCCTTTTTTTTGTGTGTTATATTTTAGCCTGAATTTAAAAGTTATCAGTCTGTTGGGTCGCCTAAAATACAGGTGATTGGCATTTGAGGTTTTTTTTCTTTACAAGATAATGGTTGATTCAATTTAGCAAGTAAGCATCAATTGTGCTACTTTTTTTTTCCTTCATCTTAAATAGAGCTAAGCAATCAACTCGACATGACGGCTACTTAATTTGTCGCTTTCTTACCGCCTGTTTTCCGAAACTGTGTGCTTTCTTTTCGTCGTCATCGACTTTGGGCTGCCGCTCCAAGTCCATAGAGCCTTTTTTTTCAGCTATCCCTGCCGTACACCCTTGTACTTCTATTCATCGTCAGACTAATAGACAGTTATATTTTCTTCCGTACAGTTCCAAGTTGGCGGGTCAGTTTCGGTTCGGCTGAAACTAACTCCTCGGTTGCGGTTTTTCGTTCGCTTCGGTTTTCGGTTCGACACTCTGGTCTTCACCGTGCATGGCACCCCCCCTTCCTTCCTTCCTTCCCTCCCTCCCTCCCTCCCTCCCTCCCTCCCTCCCTCCCTCCCTCTCTCCCCTCTTCTCCTCTCTGCAAGAAAACAAACTGTCGTTTCGAAATGTTTTCTTACTTGAACTGTGAAGGTTTTCAAGTGCATTTCCTTTCCTCCTTTATTGAGCGCACAATTCTAAAGTGGAACTTCCCTTCTGACATTGCAATAAAGTTTCCTGCACAAGGAAGAAAAACCTGCCATTTGACCTCCCTTGTGTGTGCAAAGTGTCAATGTTCCTATATTATGCTTGAACATGGTCTTTTTGTCTTCCTATTTGTCGCAGAAATCATGTATGTGTATGTATGTATGTATATATATATATATATATATATACCAATATCGCACTTTATGGATTAATCTTGCACGACCTGTGAAAACCACGTATCTCTGGCTTTCCTCACGTTCGATTTTCGAGCAATTTCTGAAGCTAGCTTGGGGAGATTGATTTCGCTCGCACACAATTCGAGGCGCGAGGACGGGCATGTACGAACGCCTACGTAGTCGGGACGGTAAACAAAACTTACACAAATTAAAATCCTGCGCAGATAATAAAAGAAAGAGCAACAAAAAAGTATGGGCGTCTTTCTTTACTAATTTCTTTTTTTTTTCTTTTTTAGGATTGTAAGCGGACGGGCTTCTTAAACGATACCAAAAAGCGAGACACAATTTGACAAACGGGTCACGTCACAAGAAAGGAAATCCCACATCCTCAAGCGTGTAAAAAATGCACGCAATATCTACAGTACTGGAATTGGAAGCGCTGCCAATCTCGCGTGCACTAGCCCAAATCGCGTTGCTCCCGCTCACGTCAAAGCGACACAGACCTCGTCGGAAAGGTACGCTTTCTGACGCGGTCAACCGGTAAAAACACTATATATTGTAAAATTCTGTACTTTGGACGTGATTAATTCAGACCGCTTTGCGGCTAACTAAGCGCGCGTTCCTTCCCAATGAAACGAAAGAGCGAGATTAGAAATAGAGGAAATAATTCCCGTGAAAAGAAAGAAATTCGTCTCTTATTGAGCTTGGCAGTAAAGCACGCGACATCTCCAGTATTCCGTTTGAAAGCGTTGTCCATGGCAAGTGCAGTAGTGTACAGTGTTCGGCTCTCGCCCAGTTGAAAGCGCCAGAAAGCCCGTGTCGCCTCGCGACACGGGTAACCGCTAGAAAACACGCACATTTTAAAGTCGCGTGATTTGCACTTGATTCCTCGGAAGTACTTTGTGGGAGACGAAGCGGGCGTTCCATGCCAAGGACACGGAAGAGAGAGATTAGAAATAGAGCGAACAATTCGCGTGAAAAGAATAATATTTGTCTCCTATCGAACTTGCCACAAAAGTAAGCGAGATTTCCAGTATTCCGTTTGAAAGCGCTGCCCGTCGCAAGTGCAGTAGTGTACAGTGTTCGGCTCTCGCCCAGTTGAAAGCGCCAGAAAGCCCGTGTCGCCTCGCGACACGGGTAACCGCTAGAAAACACGCACATTTTAAAGTCGCGTGTTTTGCACTTGATTCCTCGAAGTACTTTGTGGGAGACGAAGCGGGCGTTCCATGCCAAGGACACGGAAGAGAGAGATTAGAAATAGAGCGAACAATTCGCGTGAAAAGAATAATATTTGTCTCCTATCGAACTTGCCACAAAAGTAAGCGAGATTTCCAGTATTCCGTTTGAAAGCGCTGCCCGTCGCAAGTGCAGTAGTGTACAGTGTTCGGCTCTCGCCCAGTTGAAAGCGCCAGAAAGCCCGTGTCACCTCGCGACACGGGTAACCGCTAGAAAACACGCACATTTTAAAGTTGCGTGTTTTGCACTTGATTCCTCGGAAGTACTTTGTGGGAGACGAAGCGGGCGTTCCATGCCAAGGACACGGAAGAGAGAGATTAGAAATAGAGCGAACAATTCGCGTGAAAAGAATAATATTTGTCTCCTATCAAACTTGCCACAAAAGTAAGCGAGATTTCCAGTATTCCGTTTGAAAGCGCTGCCCGTCGCAAGTGCAGTAGTGTACAGTGTTCGGCTCTCGCCCAGTTGAAAGCGCCAGAAAGCCCGTGTCGCCTCGCGACACGGGTAACCGCTAGAAAACACGCACATTTTAAAGTCGCGTGTTTCGCACTTGATTCCTCGGAAGTACTTTGTGGGAGACGAAGCGGGCGTTCCATGCCAACGACACGGAAGAGAGAGATTAGAAATAGAGCGAACAATTCGCGTGAAAAGAATAATATTTGTCTCCTATCAAACTTGCCACAAAAGTAAGCGAGATTTCCAGTATTCCGTTTGAAAGCGCTGCCCGTCGCAAGTGCAGTAGTGTACAGTGTTCGGCTCTCGCCCAGTTGAAAGCGCCAGAAAGCCCGTGTCGCCTCGCGACACGGGTAACCGCTAGAAAACACGCACATTTTAAAGTCGCGTGTTTTGCACTTGATTCCTCGGAAGTACTTTGTGGGAGACGAAGCGGGCGTTCCATGCCAAGGACACGGAAGAGAGAGATTAGAAATAGAGCGAACAATTTGCGTGAAAAGAATAATATTTGTCTCCTATCAAACTTGCCAGAAAAGTAAGCGAGATTTCCAGTATTGCGTTTGAAAGCGCTGCCCGTCGCAAGTGCAGTAGGGTAAATTGTTCGGCTCTCGCCCAGTTGAAAGCGCCAGAAAGCCCGTGTCGCAAAGCGACACGGGTAACCGCTAGAAAACACGCATCTTTTTCTTTTGTTAATCCTGTGCTTCTCACTTCGTTCCTTGAGAGGACTTTGTCGGAAACTAAGTGGCGGGGCCTTCCAAACGAAACCAATGGTAGAAACAATGAAGTGAGCAAAGAAGAGTAGTGTAAAGAAAGAAAATTGCCTATTATGAAGCCTGCCGTAAACACGCGCGATACCGCGAGCATTCGGATTAAAAGCAGTGACAATCTCACTTACTATAGCGCTCATTGTTCGGCTCTGACACAATTCGAAACGCATGAAACGCCCCGTGTAAATATTGGTTTACTTTGTAATAACAAAGTCGATAAACTTTCTGTTGACCATGTTAACATGAACTGAAAGTCGAAAAGAAGTAATCAGAGTCAAGCAGGGGTCAGCACGTTTTTAATAAAAAGCGAGAAATAAATTTTTTTTATAGGGGTAGGATGTATGTACGTATGGAGGCACAGAGGAAAAAAAGAACATTTATATATATATATATACACACAAACATACATACATACATATATATATATAAGGAGAGAGAGAGGGGTAAAAATAAGAAAGGACAAATAAATGATACTGAATAGAGTGAGAGACAGTAAGTCAGTAAGTCAGTCAGTCAGTCACCGAAACTGATAACCACAAACTATGTACAGAATGCTCTTGAAGGATCTTCTTTATACTTATCGGTGCTATTATGTGGAGGTGGGGTCTGTCGAGCGTTCGATTGGTGCGAGCGGCGTCTGACGACGTCGCCGACGCCTTTCGTCGCCGTCTCGGCCGCTGCCTCCGCCGCATGGTCGTTACAGCAAGGTACCTGCGATCTCTGGCGTCTGCCGTTGGGGTCGGTTCTCGGGTGCACCTGTGTCTTGAAAACGAATGCGAGAGGAGGGTGTTTCGGAGCGTCCGCGCTAACCGAACGGTGTGAAATGACGAGTGCGTTCTGACCGAAGGCCGGGGTGCGTCCTCGCGTCCTCACGGGACCTGAAAGCTCGGCAACGCTGCGAAGGCGTCGTCAATGATTTTTTTGGCGTACGACTTTCTGTTGCTACGACGAGAAAGAAATTTATGCGCTTCTTGCCGCGTCGGTACCGACCTCGGTCGGGGATATTCCGGCTGCGCGCTCGAACGTGCTTCATTTCTTCTTGGATTTGGAAGTAATTCCTAAGCGTTGTGTGTGTTTGCGGTTCGTAAGGGGCGCCTGACGGTGGCCCCGCGTCCGCGCGTTGGTAGGGTTTTGGGTGACCCACCACGAAAAGATTACCTGGTTGATCCTGCCAGTAGTCATATGCTTGTCTCAAAGATTAAGCCATGCATGTCTAAGTACATGCCGAAACAAGGCGAAACCGCGAATGGCTCATTAAATCAGTTATGGTTCCTTAGATCGTTTCTTCCTACTTGGATAACTGTGGCAATTCTAGAGCTAATACATGCAGTGAGCCCGAAGCCCCTCGGGGCGACGGGTGCTTTTATTAGACCAAGATCAATCGGGCTTCGGTCCGTTTTGTGTGGTGACTCTGGATAACTTTGTGCTGATCGCACGGCCACGAGCCGGCGACGTTTCTTTCAAGTGTCTGCCTTATCAACTGTCGATGGTAGGTTATGCGCCTACCATGGTTGTTACGGGTAACGGAGAATCAGGGTTCGATTCCGGAGAGGGAGCCTGAGAAACGGCTACCACATCCAAGGAAGGCAGCAGGTGCGCAAATTACCCACTCCCGGCACGGGGAGGTAGTGACGAAAAATAACAATACGGGACTCTTTTGAGGCCCCGTAATTGAAATGAGTACACTCTAAATCCTTTAACGAGGATCCATTGGAGGGCAAGTCTGGTGCCAGCAGCCGCGGTAATTCCAGCTCCAATAGCGTATACTAAAGTTGCTGCGGTTAAAAAGCTCGTAGTTGGATCTCAGTTACAGGCGGGAAGTGCGTGGACACCACGTTACGGCCCGTGCTGAACATCATGCCTGTCGTGGCTTGGTTCCCTTCATCAGGTGCCTTGCTTTGGCCGGCGCGTTTACTTTGAAAAAATTAGAGTGCTCAACGCAGGCGATTCGCCTGAATAACAGTGCATGGAATAATAGAACAAGATCCTGTTTCTGTTCTGTTGGTTTTTGGAATACAGGATAATGATTAAGAGGGACAGACGGGGGCATTCGTATTGCGGCGCTAGAGGTGAAATTCTTGGACCGTCGCAAGACGAACTACTGCGAAAGCATTTGCCAAGAATGTTTTCATTGATCAAGAACGAAAGTTAGAGGTTCGAAGGCGATCAGATACCGCCCTAGTTCTAACCATAAACGATGCCAACCAGCGATCCGCCTGAGTTACTCAAATGACTCGGCGGGCAGCTTCCGGGAAACCAAAGTATTTGGGTTCCGGGGGAAGTATGGTTGCAAAGCTGAAACTTAAAGGAATTGACGGAAGGGCACCACCAGGAGTGGAGCCTGCGGCTTAATTTGACTCAACACGGGAAAACTTACCCGGCCCGGACACTGGGAGGATTGACAGATTGAGAGCTCTTTCTTGATTCGGTGGATGGTGGTGCATGGCTCTAGCCTATTAAATAGGTGCGTGGTTCTCTGCACCTTGCACCCTTCTTAGAGGGACAAGCGGCTCCTAGCCGCACGAAACAGAGCAATAACAGGTCTGTGATGCCCTTAGATGTCCGGGGCCGCACGCGCGCTACACTGAAGGAAGCAGCGTGTTTTTATCCCTGTCTGTAAAGACTGGGTAACCCGTGGAACCTCCTTCGTGATTGGGATAGGGGCTTGCAATTGTTCCCCTTGAACGAGGAATTCCCAGTAAGCGCGAGTCATAAGCTCGCGTTGATTACGTCCCTGCCCTTTGTACACACCGCCCGTCGCTACTACCGATTGAATGATTTAGTGAGGTCTTCGGACCGATACCCGGAGCGGCCTTTCGGTTGCGCCGGTGTGTTGGAAAGATGACCAAACTTGATCATTTAGAGGAAGTAAAAGTCGTAACAAGGTTTCCGTAGGTGAACCTGCGGAAGGATCATTACCGGATGTTATTTGGCATCGTTTTGTCTTCTTCCTCTTGTACGGGGAATGGACTCGATGTGCGAATTTATCTGGCGCCGATCCCGACCAAGCTTGGATGCCGTCGGGACGGCACAAAAAAAAACAAAAAACAACTGTGGTTCGGATGTGCCTTTTTCTTTGGGTGGCCTCCGTTCCTTTCGATGATGCGCCCAGCGGGAGCCCTCTGCTGCCTCGATTGAGAGGAGATTTCAAGTGCACCGGGACAATCCGCGGGTTACAAAAGGCGCATCGCCCCCTTTTTCGTCTCTTCTCGAGGATCGCCCTTTTGTTTTGATTAACGAAGAGGCGTTTGAGAAGAAGCTTTTTTTTGCGCTTTCGAGATGGCATGGGATGTGCCGGGCGCGAAAAAAAAACAACAACTTGTGTTTTGTCGTACTGATTGAAAAATCCAAAAACACGACTCTAAGCGGTGGATCACTCGGTTCTCGGGTCGATGAAGAACGCAGCCAGCTGCGAGACTTGGTGTGAATTGCAGGACACACTGAGCACTTACTCTTTGAACGCACATTGCGGCCTCGGGCCTTCCCGTGGCTTCGTCTGTGTGAGGGTCGGATCATATATCAAGAGAGGAGAATTTGTTTTCTACCTCGTTTTGACTGTGTCGGATCGTGGGCAGCACGCAGTTTTATGCTTTCTTGCGTTGCGTTTTCTTTGAGCAAATGCACGAGTGGTGCGATTGCACGCGTGCGCTTAACCAGTCCTCCTCCTCCTACGAGTTTTTATCGAACACTGCATGGGAAAAAGAAACTCGATGGATACCGTTTGTGGAAAGTCCCGTACCAAAAAAATCTTTCGCACGTTGAACGGCGCTGTGACGTCGGTGCGTTAGAAACGGAGATTTGAAACGGTTTCTTTTCGATCGATTCTGTTTTCTTTGGCGTGGATGTTGTTCGAGTGGAAAAACCGTGGGACGGAGTTGGCGTTGGCGCGTTGAAACGCGGCGTCGGCAAATGTAAATCTCGTGGCGTTGATTTGCACAAAAAAAAGAAAAACGCTTCTGGGAGGAAAGTTTTTTGCGTCGTAGCCTTCCGTCAGTCTAAGACCTTCGCGTCCCCGATGAATACTGGAGCCATCCAGTAGGGGAATGCCGTTGGATTGCACGCTTTCTTTTTTGTCGAATCGAAAGCGATGCAAAGCGTGTGTACAACAACTGTTAGTTCGCCATCCTTTTGTGTTTTTGACATGTGGTAAGGAGGCGAAGTTTTTGTTGGAAAGCGCACAAAATAAAAAAAAGATTGTCGACCTCACATCAGGCGAGACAACCCGCTGAATTTAAGCATATCACTAAGCGGAGGAAAAGAAACCAACAGGGATTCCCTTAGTAGCGGCGAGCGAAACGGGACCTAGCCCAGCACCGAATCCCTCGTCCTTGCCGGCGATCGGGAAATGTGGTGTATGGGAGGTAACGTTCCCGAGAGTTTTGCGGTGGTGCAAGTCCCCCTGACAGGGGCTTGACGCAGAGTGGGTGCCAGGCCCGTCTCCGCCACTGCTCTCTCGGGATGGAACCTCCCGTGAGTCGGGTTGCTTGAGAGTGCAGCCCTAATTGGGTGGTAAACTCCATCTAAGGCTAAATACGTCCGAGAGACCGATAGTTCACAGGTACCGTGAGGGAAAGTTGAAAAGAACTTTGAAGAGAGAGTTCAAGAGTACGTGAAACCGCTTAGAGTAAAACGGGTGGGCCCTCGAAGCTCGAGGGCGGTGGGATTCAGTTTCGCTGTGACGTGGAGCGGTGTCAGCGTCTTGGTTTACGGGCTCTCCTTGTGGGGGCCCGTTCCGGCTGCCCGCGCGGTGCCGCGCACTCCGGAACGCATTTTCCACCGTCGGTAGGACGCCGCGACGGGCACGGGTAACCCTTTCAAGAACGACTTTGAGTCCGGCCGCTGGAGGTGACCGGCGACGGCCCTTGTTTGGCTGTCGTGGGAGTTATACCTGGCCGGTAATCGAGTACGTCACCCTGCCCAGGCCTCATGGGCTACTCCCTTCGGGGAGGCCCGAAACGATGCCCTCCGGAATGCGGAGCGGGAAACCCGGCTGGGTCAACGGGTCGCCTGCCTTACGCCAGGTATTCGCCTGACGTTCGGTGTTTGGGGCTCGGAACCGGCGAGGCGGGTTCTTTCCGCGGAGGGTCGTCATGGTTGGCGGCGAGTAGGTCGGTAACCCACCCGACCCGTCTTGAAACACGGACCAAGGAGTCTAACATGTGCGCGAGTCAATGGGTCCCTCAAAACCCAGAGGCGCAATGAAACGTGAAGGCGCGGCCTCGTGCCGTGCCGAGTTGCGATCCCGGGCCGCCCAGGGGTCCGATGAAGGGAGCAGCAACGGCCCGCCCCACACGCTCACGTCGGGGGGGCGGCGCTAGAGCGCACACGTTGGCACCCGAAAGATGGTGAACTATGCCCGGGCAGGACGAGGCCAGAGGAAACTCTGGTGGAGGTCCGAAGCGCTTCTGACGTGCAAATCGATCGTCCGACCCAGGTCGGACGATCGATTCGAGAGTCATAGTTACTCCCGCCGAGAGTCATAGTTACTCCCGCCGTTTACCCGCGCATTGATGAATCTCTTCACGTTGACATTCAGAGCACTGGGCAGAAATCACATTGCGTCAACACCGACCAGCGGCCATCGCAATGCTTTGTCTTAATTAGACAGTCGGATTCCCCCGGTCCGTGCCAGTTCTGAGTTGACTGTTTTTTGCCGGCCGAAGCATAGCACTTTGGGCACGAAGCCCTCAGACGCCGCGCAGCTGAGGCTTTCCACAGGAAGGTCCCGACGCTGGTCCGGGCTTGGCCGCGCCGCGTGAACGGCGAGCCCCGCCCAGTCCCGGTGCAGTGCCGTTCCTGCTTCAGGTCCCCAGCCCGACCGGCTCAGTCCTCAGAGCCAATCCTTATCCCAAGGTTACGGATCCGTTTTGCCGACTTCCCTTACCTACATTGGTCCATCGACTAGAGGCTGTTCACCTTGGAGACCTGCTGCGGATAAACGCTTCGGGGCACTGGGCTTCGGGGCACTGGGCCCCGAAGGACCAATCTCCGTGTCCGGGTTCGGGATTATTAACCCGATTCCCTTTCGGTCACTGCGGGGCTCTCTCCACTGCAAAAAAGTGCTCCCGCTTCGGAAAGAACTTCTCCTTTCCCTTAGGACCGACTGACCCATGTTCAACTGCTGTTCACATGGAACCCTTCTCCACTTCAGTCCTCAAGGTTCTCACTTGAGTATTTGCTACTACCACCAAGATCTGCACCAGCGGCGGCTCCAGGCGGGCTTACGCCCGACACCTTCAACGCTCACCGCAGCGGCCCTCCTACTCGCTGCAGCTTAGCACCCCCTTGTTTGCGTGCATCTGCCGGCAGCGGCCGGGGATAGGCTCGACACTAGAGCGCCATCCATTTTCGGGGCTAGTTGCTTCGGCAGGTGAGTTGTTACACACTCCTTAGCGGGTTCCGACTTCCATGGCCACCGTCCTGCTGTCTTAAGCAACCAACACCCTTCATGGGATCTCATGAGCGTCCCGCATCGGGCGCCTTACCCCGGCGTTTGGTTCATTCCACAGCGCCAGTTCTGCTTACCAAAAGTGGCCCACTTGGCACTCTCATCGCTTCCGGAGGCCTCAGACCAGAAGGCCTCCGACACACCCATTGAAAGTTTGAGAATAGGTTGAGGTCGTTTCGACCCCAATGCCTCTAATCATTCGCTTTACCAGGTGTGACTGGTCTCGGCAACAAGCGCCAGCTATCCTGAGGGAAACTTCGGAGGGAACCAGCTACTAGATGGTTCGATTAGTCTTTCGCCCCTATACCTGGGTCGGACGATCGATTTGCACGTCAGAAGCGCTTCGGACCTCCAGCAGAGTTTCCTCTGGCCTCGTCCTGCCCGGGCATAGTTCACCATCTTTCGGGTGCCAACGTGTGCGCTCTAGCGCCGCCCCCACGACGTGAGCGTGTGGGGCGGGCCGTTGCTGCTCCCTTCATCGGACCCCTGGGCGGCCCGGGATCGCAACTCGGCACGGCACGAGGCCGCGCCTTCACGTTTCATTGCGCCTCTGGGTTTTGAGGGACCCATTGACTCGCGCACATGTTAGACTCCTTGGTCCGTGTTTCAAGAAGGGTCGGGTGGGTTACCGACCTACTCGCCGCCAACCATGACGACCCTCCGCGGAAAGAACCCGCCTCGCCGGTTCCGAGCCCCAAACACCGAACGTCAGGCGAATACCTGGCGTAAGGCAGGCGACCCGTTGACCCAGCCGGGTTTCCCGCTCCGCATTCCGGAGGGCATCGTTTCGGGCCTCCCCGAAGGGAGTAGCCCATGAGGCCTGGGCAGGGTGACGTACTCGATTACCGGCCCGGTATAACTCCCACGACAGCCAAACAAGGGCCGTCGCCGGTCACCTCCAGCGGCCGGACTCAAAGTCGTTCTTGAAAGGGTTACCCGTGCCCGTCGCGGCGTCCTACCGACGGTGGAAAATGCGTTCCGGAGTGCGGGCCACCGCGCGGGCAGCCGGAACGGGCCCCCACAAGGAGAGCCCGTAAACCAAGACGCTGACACCGCTCCACGTCACAGCGAAACTGAATCCCACCGCCCTCGAGCTTCGAGGGCCCACCCGTTTTACTCTAAGCGGTTTCACGTACTCTTGAACTCTCTCTTCAAAGTTCTTTTCAACTTTCCCTCACGGTACTTGTGAACTATCGGTCTCTCGGACGTATTTAGCCTTAGATGGAGTTTACCACCCAATTAGGGCTGCACTCTCAAGCAACCCGACTCACGGGAGGTTCCATCCCGAGAGAGCAGTGGCGGAGACGGGCCTGGCACCCACTCTGGGTCAAGCCCCTGTCAGGGGGACTTGCACCACCGCAAAACTCTCGGGAACGTTACCTCCCATACACCACATTTCCCGATCGCCGGCAAGGACGAGGGATTCGGTGCTGGGCTAGGTCCCGTTTCGCTCGCCGCTACTAAGGGAAT